GTTTCACTTGTAAGAGGAATATAGAAGAACCAAATAAGGGATCAGGAAAAAAAACTAATAATAAAAAGAAAAACAAAATTAGTAGGAAGCTATCAATCAGACACATTCTGCAAGGGAGGAGAAATAGAAGAATCAAAACAGGGGACAAAGAGCACAAGGGACTATGGTGATGGTCCACTGATGAATTAGTGGTGGGAATATTATGGGGATTACACCTGAAAGGAGAAACCATATGTTGTACAAAATTGAACAATGATGTAATACACACACACACACACACACACATACACACACATATATATAAAATACTTGGGATAAAAGAGACATATCTTAACATAATAGAAGCCATATATGACAAGTGCACAGCTAACATCATTCATTTTTTTTTAAAGATTTATTTATACAAGAACTGAGATACAGGCCAGATGTGCAGGAGGGTGAGAGGATTCACCAGAGACAAAGTGGGGAGCAGAATAGGCAGAATGACTGAAATACACTGCTGAGGAGAGCAGCAGGTGAGACAGGAGAGGTCTGCTGTGCCATGTGGGTTGCTCCGCAGCTGGCGGGGATCAACCAGCACTGCAGAGGTTGCTGACAGCTTCACAGCGCTGCGCTCAATAGCCTGTGCCACCAGGGAGGCCCACTAACATATTTTTTTTTAAGATTTATTTATTTATTTATACAAGAACCGGGGTACAGGCCAGATGCATGGGAGGGTGAGGGGATTCACCAGAGACAGAGCAGGGAACAGAACAGGCAGATTGACGAAATACACTGCTGAGGGGAGCAGTGGGCGTGACAGGAGAGGTTTGCCGCGCCATGTAGGACCCTCACCGGCCAGCAGGGATCGAACTGTGCTGCAGAGGCTGTGGACAGCTCCACAGCGGGGCACTCAACCACTTGTGCTACCAGGGGAGACCCTAACATCATTCTTTTTTTTTTTTTAAGATTTATTTATACAAGCACTAGGTACAGTCAGAAGCGCGGGAGGGTGAGAGAATTCACCAGAGCCAGAGCGGGGAACAGAACAGGCAGACTGACAAAGTACATTGCTGAGTGGAGCAGAGGGTGTGGCAGGAGAGGTCTGCATACCACCTAACATCATTCTTAATGGTGAAAAACTGAAAGCCTTCCCATTAAGATGTGAAACAAGACAAGGCTATCTACTCTCACCACTGCTTTTCAATATATTACTAGAAGTCCTACTTTGGGCAATTAAGAGAAAAACATAAAAGGAATCCAGGTAGGGAAAGAAGAAGTGAAACTATCATTATATATAGATGATATGATAATATGTAGAGAGAATCCTAAAAAATCCACAGAGAAACTAATTAAAATAGTAAACCAGCAGCTGCTCAATAAAGTAGCAGATTACAAAATCAATACACAAAAATCAATAGCCTTTCTATATGCACTCTCTAGAGGAAAAAATTAAGAAAACCATCCCATTTACAATTGTACCCCCAAACACTAAACACCTGGGAATAAACCTAACAAAGGACATGAAAAATCTCTATAAGAAAAACTACAACATACTATTAAAAGAAATAGAAAATACAGATATTCCCTGTTAATGGATCAGAAGAATTAACATAAAAATGGCCATCCTACCAAAAGCAGTTTACAGATTCAATGCTATTCCAGTAAAAATCTCAATGACATTCTTCAAAGAAATAGAACAAATATTGATGAAAATCATATGAAACCACAAAAAAAAAATAGCAAAAGAAGAATGGAGGCATTACAGTGCCAGACTTCAAACAATACTATAAAGCCATTATAATAAAAACGCATGGTATTGGAACAAAAACAGACACACAGACCAATGGAATCACATTGAAAGCTCAGAAATAAAACCACATATATATGGTAGACTAATCTGTGACAAAGGAGCAAAGAATATACACTGGAACATGGAAAGCCTCTTCACTAAATGGTGTTGGGAAAACTGGACTGTAATATGCAAGAAAATGAAACTAGACTATTATCTCACACGATATACAAAAATCAACCCAAAATGGATAAAAGACTTGAATGTAAGCTCTGACACCACAAAATATATAGAAGAAAACACTCCATGACATAAACCTCAGATACATCTTTAAGGATTCTTCTCCAGAAGCAAGGAAAACAAAGAAGATAAACAGCTGGGATTATATCAAACTAAAAAACTTCTGTACAGCAAAAGAGGAAAATAATCAAAATAAGGGGCATCCTACTGGATGGGAGAAAATATTTACACACCATATGACAGATAAGGGACTGATACCAAAGTTCTACAAATAACTTAGACAACTCAACAAAAACAGCCAACTCAATCAAAAAAAGGGGCAAAAGAACTAAAAAGACACTTCTCTAAAGAAGAAGGGTAAATGGCCAGTGGCATATGATGAAATGGTCAACTTTACTAGTTATCAAGGAAATGCAAATCAAAACCACAATGAGATACCGCCTCACTCCATGAGAATGCCCATATTAAAAAAACAGAAACAACAAATGGTGGCAAGAACATGGAGATAAAGGAACCTTCTTACAACTGCTGGCCCAGCCACTATGGAAAGCTGTGTGGAGGTTCTTCAGAACACTAAAAATGGATCTACCATATGATCAAGCAATTCCACTCCTAGGAATCTACCCAAAGGATAAAAAAACACTAATTCAAAAGGAAATGTGCACCCCTATGTTTATTGCAGCACTATTTACAGTAGCCGAGATGGAAACAACCTAAATGCCCCAAAATAGATGAGTGGATCAAAATTTTAATAAAAATTAGAAAACTGACACAAATGCATTTTCTGAGGTGCATTTCCATAGTCATATGCTACTCTGTCTACAGTAGGTAATTCAATAATGTGCATAGACCAGGCAGAGGAACAAAAAAAAAAAATAAGGCATACAGTTGCTCCAGAAAAATTTGGATATGCTGGTATATAACCCACAGACCAGAACTGAGTTGCTTGCTGAGATTTATTCCCTGTAAATTAACTGTAGTTAAAATCCTTAATTTAATTATAGGAACTAACCATAAACCATTATTAATTCATGATTCTGTGATTACTGTATGGGATATTTAATGGATATTAAAGCATAATAGTACTTTTAATAAGAGAAAATTTTAAAATTTCACACTTGTTCTTAGCCAAAAGGCCGAGAAGCGATGAAAATTTTAAAATTTCAAAGAAAATGTCCTGCAAGCTTTCAGCCCCATAGTCCACCATCATAATCTACTTAATTGTAATAATACAGTGATTTCAGTTGTTGTTTAAAAATACATACATATATATATATATATATCTTCCACATCTAAAAATCTAGTGATAAATCATTTAGTTATGATTTCTTACATGTATTCTTAGAGGATAAAAATGCTTAGGACATGATGAAAAATGTTACTGATATTTTAACAAACAAGCAAAACATAAAATAGATGCTTTTTTCTCTAAACTGTTTATCTCAGTGAGTGGTGTGGCCATTATTAAGCATTCTGGAAAATACCCTTTCAAGTTTTCCTATTTGAATACACTCATTGGTGCCAGATCTTCATTGCTTGTGAGGTATATGTTCTATTTTAATTCTTCTGACTCATAGGACAATGCCGTTCTTTCATGCAAGTCAACAAAACATCAGGCAGATTTCACAGCACTTGCCTACAAGCACATAAAAGCCATTAATGGTCTCCAGTTAGTTCAAAATTTGGTCAGGTTTGAAAGGGAAGACTTAAAGTTTACTTTTATATCACAGTCAAAAGGATTTGTTTATTGACAAGGAGTTCAGGATGATTTCACAACCCTCACTGTCACCCAACCAAGGAGGAGAAAACTAAAGGAAAGTTTTTGTTTGTAAATGGTTCTTTGTCAGCTCAAAAGAGAGGGAAGCAGGATCCTAAAAGGTAGGGACTGAGCAGGTAAAATAAACACTCAACCTTCCCCAAAATGTTAACCAAAGAACATAGTAGTAAATTCTACATGTGTTTTTTTGTGTGTATTGTTTTACTCTCATACTTTTCTGTACTTATTTAAAAAATAAACTAGATATATTCAGAATAGAAAACTAATTTCGTATTTTCTGGTTTGCATAAACACATCTAAAATTAATGGGGAAAAGCTAAATGAAAACATACTACAGAGACTCCTCAAGAATAAGAAAATGAAGGAAATACTCCTCTAAGAAATGTGAAGATACTTGCTTACTAATTGCCTGTCCAAACAAAAGGACCTACATAGACAGATGAAGTTAAAGAAGCATGGCATGCATTCCAGCCTGAGATAGGCTGCGTTAGAAGAAAATAGTACTACTTTTTGAGAAGTTTTACATTCTTCAGAATTCTAACCTCCTTTCTCTTTATCTTAAATTCTGAAATCTCTTGGATACCTAAGTTACTGTTTCAGAAGACGGAGAGGACATTTCTCTCCCTACATTTTTCATTTCAAATATTAGCACACAGGGCGGAATTTTCACTTTACTTAGTCTTGGTGTCCAGCTCTCAACATCTTAACCTGGCAGAAGGACCAAACTAGCTGTAAATCTTACCACTCAGACCACACTTGATTATTGTATGATGGGAAAATTAAATGTGAATAAAACAGCTAGAGTGTTAGGGTGTTCTTGGAAGAATAAACACAAGTTGGAAGTTGCATGTGGCTAGTCATAGTACAGGAAGGCAATCAGTCAAGTAAACATCACTTGCTAAGGAAGCCATTGCCGTCTTCCAGGCGCTCCCTGCAGTGAATGGCTTATTCCATCTGTTTTCCCTTTCACTCAGTCTAGAAAAGAATTCTCAAATCTCTGACAGATCCCCAAAGATTTTGTAAGCCCGTATTCCATACATTGTGCAAAAATGAAAAATGATGTAAAAAAATATATAAAATTAAAAAATAATAAATAAAGGTACACTTTGGACAGATGGCCCAGGCCACTGAAGAGGATTTTTAGTTTCTAGAAGATGGACAGAAATATGTTATAATGCATTCTCCTTCACTTTTCTCCTCCTTCCACGACAGGAAACTGTTAAGGCAGCAATAATAGAAGAACAGAAGCGAAGTGAAAAGGCTGTGGAAGAGGCAGTGAAAAGAACAAGAGACGAATTGATAGAGTATGTAAAAGAACAGAAAAGGGTGAGTGTCCCCAGGAGGGCTTTCATTTGTGCTCTCAGACAGTCACATGGCATTTTCAAATATTTAAATGTCCCATGTCATCTAATTTAGGAATCTCCACCTAAGATTTCTCTGCTATCTTACATATTGTAATAGATATGTCTATAAACATAAATCCCATGCCAACAAAAAAGCACATGAATAATTTCTTACCAGATTCTTAGCATTTTCCACTTTACACTCATGAAAAAAGTAGACAGTTCTAGAATTTTTTTTTTGGCATTTATTAATTTTTTTGTATGTGCCCTTTAGATTTGGTGTTACCACTGTGATTCTCATGGAATTCATTTCAGAAATTTATTCCAGAATATTCTTGTCAGAGTTTGGGTTGCATATTTTTGAGACTTTACAGAATAAATGTCATCTCAGTACAATGTGGTTTTATTAATTGTGAACAATGACTGGATTAATGAGTCAAACTTGATTTATAGTGTTTTCAGCAAAACATGTTTTCTTAAGTACAATCCCAAAAAAGAAACATTTGAGATGTTTAATGTAATCTCTAGAATAGATTGTGTTATATAATAAATTATAGAGCAAATTTTTTCAGTGTTTTATATTTAATGTAGCATCTCAGAATCATAATATTTTCATATTATATAAAAATATTGTATGTACTAGTATTATATAAATTTGATAAGATATAAACAGTAAATGTTTTGCCATATATGTTATGATGGAGCATATAATAAAAATATAAGCATAATGGGGCCTCCCTGGTGGCACAAGGGGTTAAGATGCAGCACTATGAAGCTATCCACAGCTACTGCAGCATGAGTTCGATCCCTAGCCAGGTTGCTGACCCACATGGCACAGCAGACCTCTCCTGTCTCACCTGCTACTCCCCTCAGCAGTGATTTCAGTAGATCTGCCTGTTCTGCTCCCCACTCTGTCTCTGGTGAATCCTCTCACCCCCCACATCTTTGGCTTACACCCCAGCTCTTGTATGCATAAATAAATCTTTAAAATATATATGTATAAGCATAAGGCTAGATATGGAGCAAAAGCTCATCACACCACTTTAGTCTTATACTTTTTTTTTTAAGATTTATTTTATTTATTTATACAAGCATTGGGTATAGTCAGAAGTGCGGGAGGGTGAGAGAATTCACCAGAGCCAGAGCAGGGAACAGAACAGGCAGACTGACAAAATACACTGCTGAGGGGAGCAGCGGGCTAGACAGAAGAGGTCTGTCGCTTCATGGGGGACCCTCGCCGGCAGCCTGGGGTTGAACCTGCATTGCAGAGGCTGCAGGCAGCTTCGCAGCCCAGCGCTCAACTGCTGTGCCACCAGGGGAGGCCCTAGTCTTACACTCTTAAAAGTTGAAATCAAGTTTGTTATGATAAAAAGAAAATGCTCTTTACTCAATAGTTATCACTAGGTTTTGACAAAGGAAAATTTTACCAGCAGAGTAAAATATTGCTAAGTAGGCTTTTCTGATGAATTAACTACTCACAGAAGCATTCTGAGTGAGCTTTAATTTTTTGTACATCTTATCTCAACCTGCTTTTATATTTATTTACTTATTTTTAATTATTTTACATATTTTTTACATCATGTTTCATTTTTTACAATGTACGCATTTTCATCTTGGTTATAGTCCCTGTAAAATTCCCACCACCCATTCACCATGAACTATCACTAGGGTCCCTTGTGCTCTTCCCAACCTTGTTTTGATCCTACTCCCTTCTCCTCCCCCTCCCCCATAGTATGTCTCTGAATTGCTACTTTTAAACAGTTTTTCCCAAATTCCTGATAGGTACCTCATCTTCTAAAGAGAAAATTCAGAGCCCAAAATAGTTGACTTTTCAGGAAGTGATATAGTCTCAGAAAACTCCCATTTCCCTATGTAGACCCAAAAAGCTTATTTTTAAACATACTGGTTTGAAAGTAGTCATGGCAAGGGTATCACAAGGCTTTCACTTATATTCAGGAATTGCAGTAGATAAAACCACAGACTTGAAGTAAATTTACCACGTTTCCTGGGTTTGCCTTTTGTATCTAGTTTTCTTAACAATAGATGGGCAATCCTTATTTGAGCTCAAATCTAGACAAGAGGTTATATAATAAAGAAAACCCATTCAGTGTATTATCTTTGATCAAAATGGAAGATTTTTCTTTAAAAAACATGAAATCATATTGCTTTTCCATAATGAAGAGTCACATAGCCACTATAAGAAATGTGTAAAGTGGATTGACTGGCAAGCTGGATTGACACATGGGCCATCATTTTCAACCTCCTATCTAGAATTTATAATGACTGAGATGATTATAGAGATGTTAGGAAGGAAGGAAATTTAATACCTAGCTTATTAGAGCTGTGGTGAGGTCACACATGCACTAACTCAGAACCCTTAGATGAGGACTCAAACATCTGCTGTGATCACTGTCACTTTCACTGTATTATTAGAAAACCCCTCAATTCCTAGTAGCATTATTTTTGCTAATTGAAACTGTGCTGTTCAGACTAATATTTGGCCTTCTATTTCTTTTGAAGTTCACAGTGTGATATGAAAGGTTACACACTTGTTACTAGATGCACAGAAAATTACAACTGATTTGATCCTTATACTAATTGGAATCTCACTGCTTCCCCATTGGGATTTGGGAATTTTTTAAACAACACATATTAACAGATACTTTTAATATTTGATTCTCTTTCCCCAAACAGAAAAAACCATTAAGATGTCAAATGGTTGAAATATCTGAAATAAAAGTATCAACGAATAGATTTTTTAATATAACTTTAAAAATTAAGATTCACAATAATCTCTTCTGAATTTCAGTGTTTCATATTAGTTTTTATGAATATCTTTGAGCTTCAAAATTTTTCACAAAAACTTAAGCTACCTCATAGCTTTTAAGTACAATATTTAGAAAAGAAAACGATTTTTTAAAGAAATTCATAATCTTCTTGTTTCCTTCCAAAAGACTAAATTAGGACAGCTCATCTCCTTCCTTTGTGAAATGGGTTTCTATTTGCATCAGACAAGAACACTTTTCCAGAACAAAAATTTTCCTTTCTCCTCTCCAGCTTTTTTAACTAGAGAGTCAACTTGAGATTTTCAACATCAGACACCTCAACAGCCCAACAGACCTTGGTTCCAAATGGGCTTATATTCCAGTCTGTGAGGAAACCTTCCCTCTTGAAGTTTTAAAAAATCTTTGTAAGAAGTGTAATGTGTTAGTTCCTGTCTTCATGTCTTTTGTCCTAATCAGTCTTTCCTTTGACATCATCTTACCCTTACTAATCACTAAGGGACTGAAATGAGGACTGTGTTCCCCCTACTTCTTCTCTTTCAGTTTATTTTTAAAAGGGAAACACATAAATGAAAAATAATTTACAATTTATCCTGTAATATAAAATACAATGGAATCATAAGTCACCTCTCTGCATCTACAAGTTTTTTAGTAAGTTATCTAATCCTTTTCAGTGCTAGAAGTATACACATAATTAGAATTAGGATTATACTAGAATTAAAATTAAAATATACTGAGAAAGGGGCCTCCCTGATGGTGTAAGGGGTTAAACACTGCACTATGAAGAAATCTACAGCCTCTGCAGCAAGAGTGAGATCCCCGGCCAGCCAGGGAGCCACCACATGGTGAAGCAGACCTCTCCTGTCTCTCCCGCTGCTCCCCTCAGCAGTGTATTTCAGTCAGTCTGCCTGTTCTGTTCCCCACTCTGTCTCTGGCCTGTACTCCCAACCCCCGCATCTGGCCTGTACCCCAGCTATTGTATGCATAACTAAATCTTTAATATATATATATATATAATATATATATATATATATACTGAGAAAAATTTTACTTTTAAATGTCATTTACCAGTCCTTTTGCATCAAATCAATAGAATGTCACTAAATTTTCTAAATACCCTCTGTTCATCTGATCATAAAAAAGATGTGCTAATAAGTGAATCATAATTCACACTCATTTTGCATCCTAAATTATTTACTAAGTTGGATACATAGTACTCATACCATTAGGCTAAGTCATAATAATATCCAAATATGAAAATACTCAAATAAGACCAGAAAAAAAGTTCAAATTAATAATGGGTCTTCTATGTTTCATAAATGATAATATATCTCTTTAAGTTCAGATAAAATACATTGAATTCACAAATGTCGTGTTTAACTGAAATGCTAATATTTTGCAGCTTCATGTCTCAAAGTTTCCGAATTTGTGATTTTTTAATTTAAAAACCTCCACAATAATGTGTGTAATAGAGACTAATATGTCAAATAAAGTGTACTGTGTACAAGAGAAGTAACAGTAAGTCCTAAAAAGATTTTAAACTATATTTAAGTTTGCTTGAGAACCAGCTAGGTACCTGCAAGTATAGTGATTTTACATTGGGAAGCCATACCATTTTTTTAATAAAAAATTAAAATTTTATTGTCAAATTACCTTGAATGATAATAAATTCTAGACAATGTGTTGCAAGCTATGGACCCAGGGGTCAAATCCAGCTGGCTGTTTGCTTCTGTAAATAAGTTTTATGGAAACATACAACCATATCCAATCTCTGATGGATTGTTATTTGGCTGATTTCATGTGCACCAGCAGAATTGAGTAGCTGGGAGAGACCGGTGGGTCCACATAACCTAAAATGTTTCTATCTGGCCCTTCACAGAAAAGTGTCACCCCCTGTTCTAGGTCATCAAAATCATCTCGTGGGGAAATCTTCTTGCTGTCAGTCCTTCAAAATATTTATTGTTTGTTTATACCTCACTAACTAGACAATTGAAATGTCTCCCAGTGCTATTCCAGAAAAGATTACTCTTTTGATAGTAATTGCCAGATAAGGTATTATAATATATCTGGTCATTAATGCCATAAACTCTATTTTAGATTAATGGAGATTATTAAAAAACAAGAAGAGAAAGACCACATCCCTTTACACTTCCCTAGGGAGGAAGAATTTGTGGTTTATAATGACCTTTGGCCCTTGGAT